TGTTGAGTAAGTAAAGGAAATACTTATATACAGTTTAAATGATCTCTAAGGAAAGATAACAGTTCTATGATATTAATAGGGTAAATTCAGACTCTGTACTGGTTTGGGTCTCATCTGAGGTTACAAAAGGTCAGACACTCAGATTTCCTTTACAAATGCCCAGAAATCCTTTGTCAAAGCTGAGAGGATAAGATGATGTGTTTTTTCTCCTGGATGCAAATACAAAGAATTCCAGAGGAATGTTCATTTGATATCCACCGCCCACAAGGTCCCTTTCATAGGCACCATGAATATTAACTAACTCTGGATCTCATCGCACATCCAGTGGGAAAGAGTTCAATAAACAAACAACTGTGACAGGTACTAGGATAGAAGTCGGGCTCAAGGAAAATGGGAGGATCAGACCTAATTTCCAAAGGAAAGTCACATGTGAGCTGAGCTTTGGAAGATGAGGCACTTGCCAACTAGGCAAGATGAGGAAGGAACTTTCTAAGAAGGGTGATGTCACAGCAAAAGGCACAGAGGCATGACAGAGACAAGTTTTCCAGAAAATAGCAACCTTGAAATCAAAATAGGCTATGTTTTCTGAGTGAATTCTTGGCTTTTGCTATAATTATGACTAACCTTATGTCTTATGAATAGCAATATAAACAAATACAAAAAGGATGTCTTTTCACCAATTTAGAAAAATCGCATATGCACTCTGAAAACACAATGGCCTAAAAGAACGTGAGTCGTGAGAAATAATCCCAGGCCACTTTGTGTCACAGTCCAGAGGGCACCTTCACGCTATGTCCTGGAGTCACCAGGGCAACCCTACTTGAAAGCCTCATAAGTTTCCTAAGATACCACCCCACACGTATACACGTACGCAAACCTCAATTTCTAATCACAAGTTCAGACATCAGCTGCACCAGCTCAAGTTTTATAAAATAATTACTTTTTCTAAGTCTGACTGTATTGAGTAGCAGCTAAATTGCAGTTAATCACAGTGCACATTGTCTAATTATACAAAATGTTACTTCAACACCATCTTAATTATTGGGTAACTCCAGATGTCTGTCAATAAAGTAGTGAATGGCAGGCTAATATTTTTGGCTGGTCTGCATCATACTTTTCAATTGTCCTAGTATTGGGAGGTAATGAATACCAAACAGGTGTAATGGTGACCAAGCAAACCTCTGCAGCTAAAGACCTCCTTCTCAAAGCTCATTAAATCTCTTTACACATCATAGATGTGTGGGAGCTGATGTGTATCCTGCTAGCCCATTGGTGTTCATCAGTTAAGTGGAATTTTCAAAATGAAAATCTCAAAGAAATGATCTAAATGAATCTGGCATGTTGAGATGAGAAGACCCAAGACTTACCTGGGGTCAGTGAATATGGTATCCATATTTTTTGCCTTACTCCTGGCTGCCTTTTTTTTTTAAGTACTAGGATTTTGAACTCAAGGCCTTGTGTTTGCTAAGCAGATACTCTACCACTTGAACCACACCCCCAGCCCTTTTTTTGCTTTATTTTCCGATAGGGTCTCAGGCTTTTTGCTTATCCAGCCTTAGACTGTGATCCTCCCACTATGCTTCCCACGGTAGCTGGAATTATAGGTGTGTGCCACTACACCCAGCCTGCCTATAGTTCCTTAGTCCTTTAAAGCAATTTTGCATTACATATATTATGTCATTTGATTTCAAACTATTTATCTTATATTAACAGCCACTTCACATAGGAGGAAGCTGAAGTTCTAAGAGGCTGCATAACTCACCAACAAGTAGTGGTAGCACTTGCAATTCTGACACAGACTTTTGAATTCTGAATCATATACATTTTTTGCTCATCCCTGTAGCTTGTGATCCAAGCCTCTGAAGTTCTATCTAATATTTTGCAATCACCCAGTACTACCCACCAAATTATTACAATCACCATATCACATTAACTACATCCTATGCCTGATTTTAAGGGTTTTATGTATATCAAATAATTTCATCTCTTCAACATCCTATAGAAACACTGAGCTGCAAATTCACCATGTTACCTTAAAAAAATTACTCAAAGTCTCAGTTCTTTCTTACATAAAATTAGTAGCTTGAATTAGAACTGAGATGGAAAATAGGTTTTAATCAAGATTTCCAATCTGACCAATGCGTATTGATGACTGAAGAACTATCTAAAAGTTTTCAGAGGCCACGTTGAGACCTGGCAGTCAAGTAATGATTAGTTTGTGATGTGTGTCGAGGGCACAGAATAAGGACGAACAATATGTGCTTCCTACTTGACATCCACTAAGCTCAGGAACTCCAAATGCTTTCTTAGTGCTAACCTCCTGTGACTCTAAGAACCTAGCACAGACACTAGAGTCTAAAATGAGGGCATTCAAAGCACTGCCATCATCCCTACCCCACTCTTTCTGTTTCTCAGAGTCCCTAAAGCACAGCGCCTTGCTCTTCTCCATCCTGAAGGCACATTAGGGTCTTGTTCTGGATATGTGTCACCCTGACTTGCTTCCAGTTTACACACACAGTGTTTCATGGAGACTGTCACAAAGTCCTCTGCCAAGTCTCTGACAGCGGCAAACATCCACTTTGCCACTTCCAGCCATGCCTTTGCCAAAACAAGACCAAGAAATAGTTTGTACCTTTTGCCAGCTGTTATTTCTAAGTGCCAACTCCTTCTTAGGAAAAAATAGAAAAACTACTAAGGATGACTGTTTTATGGAGATGACATAGCAACATTAAAAAAGAGGAAGTGAGAGAAAGAGAATGCACTGGTATTGGCAGGTGGAACACCTTAGGGCCTCTCAATGACTCTCCCTGCTTTCTTACCCCCATCCTTTGTTTTTTTGCAAGCTCTATTCCAGACTTACAGAGAAGCCTACTTCTCTCACCCTTTTGAGACAGTGTGAGATACTCAACCAAGTAAAAAATTAAAAATGATGTGACTTTAAGTCTTCACTCCACAATTTATGAGCTGAGGAAGCAAATGGTCTCATATCTCTAAACCCCAGTTGCTTTATCTGGGGTTGGTCAGAGTACCTTCCACCTAAGAAAGAATGTTGGAAATAGATGCCAATGGGTGTAAGAACCCCTTAAGACCTGCAAAGTGATATACAGACATGAATTTTCTTTCCTTCCTTGTCGTGGACTTTTTTTCCCCCTCCCTTTGTTACTCAGGACTTTTCATTATGAACCTGAAGGTGAAAATTAGCAGCACAAGGTACTGAATTCACAGCTCTTATGTAATGCCAACCTCCACAGCCTCCCTGCAGTCTTACCAGGTAGTACACAGAACCTGTTTGCACAGGGCCTTGAGGACTGGGATGGGCCACTCGTGAGGAATGTTGCCTTTGCTGGCTGCAAGTACCACTGCTCTAAATGACAACTCCCACCTTCTATATGAAGCAACCCAAAAAGTGATGAATGAACTAAGAACTCTCTTATACAATGAAAGCTATGTTTTGCCCTGGTTTTCTGAATTACAAATTATACATACTGATATCAAACATCTTATTTAAGATTTTCCTTCAGAATGTCCCATCAGAATGATTTTCAAGGCTACTGGAAAGAGATTAGTACTGTAGCATGAAGTATTTATTCTGAATTTCCTGAAGTGAATGCTCATACTGACAGAAACAGAGCAGAATCTGTCTTTGGCCTCATTACTCATCCTGTTTTTCACAGCTCAAATCAGATTGCGAGTTCGCTGACATCTTTCTTTACATTAAGTACTTGACTGAGCACTGGGGATTCAATGATAAATGAGACTCTGTCTCTGCCTATTTGGAGCTCTGCATCTACTAGGGAGACTCTGATGTCACATGACATTTGAAATTTTTATTAGTCCATGATCAGAACTTTCCTCTCATATTAATTATTTTATGTAGATTTCCCTGTAAAGTCATATTCTAGCATTGCTCAGTTAGTCTCCCATACATCTATCCCTAATAAATTTTTTTATCTCCAGCTTTAATAACTGGGGCTTAGCAATCAATGAGGGTTTTTTTTGCCTGGACTCTGAATTTCAGTAGTTGAGTTCTTCAAAGACAATTATTCTTTTCCTGACTACAGAAAATTGTGACTGACTCATCACAGACCAAACTCCTGCTCAAAAATAGGAAAGACCCCTGAAGATTTCTGGGGCAGCCATGGATAGATGCTACTTAGGAGAAGCATAACGGCCCACTCTGTGCCTTTAGGGTATAGTGTGGACTGGTGGGACCACCCTGAAGGCAAGCCCTCCTCAAGGTAGATGTAAGCTACAACTTAAGCCTGTAGCCATTTCCTACACTTGAAAGAGTAAGAAAACCTCACCTGACCTACCCCATCTACCAAGGCTCCAGGGAAGACATCTGTACTCTACAGAGTTAACCACATACTATTTAACTTCCCCAAACCACATGCGGTTATCAAGACCATCCATGACATTACCTCCTATGAAATTAACCCATTTTCTCTGGTGTTGGGGCCATTGAAGGAGACTGTCATTGGCAGGCTGTAAATGTGTTTCAGGGGTGGTGAGCCAATGGCACGGGAGGAGGTGACACTTTTACTGTATCATCTTCCTTCGTTTTCTTTCTGAAGTTTCGAGGCATGGTTTAGCAGCAATTATTACCAGTGATGCAGGGCACTCCCTTAATTTTCTTGGGGGTGGGGGGAAATTAAAGATTAAACCCAGGGCCTCATACGTGCTAAGCACGTGCTGACCACTGAGCTACAACCTCAGCCTCCTATCAGGTTTTAATATTCTTCAACTGACCCATGGCATTTTCCTGATAATTAATAGTAAAGTAAAGCCCTTAGTGTCCTACAATATATTCTGATGAAGTTTTTATGTCATAAATAAAGACACTTGCTTTTGAGCACTTCTAAAAATAGAAGATGAAATTAAAAGGAACAGAAATTCTGATTGGATTGCAAGAAACTACTGAATGGAGCCTTTCTCCGAATGCTAAATGACTTTATTCTAGGGGGTAATGCTTGGTTTAGAACCGTGGCACTCCATGTCCAATGTCGGACAGTAAGCAGTCATACAGACCATTGCCCTACTACCTATAGCTAGCAACCAGTTATTCTTAGAATTATGACTGTGTGTCAACTGACACTAAAATAGTGCTGAAGAGTTTTATAAGGATGCAGGGAATTGTGAATGGTTCAAGGAGAAAGCAAGGAAAATTAACCCTGAACTGTGCCCGTTTCCTGTTTCAGAGCAGGGCTTGTAACTACAGTGTATCCCTAGTTGTTAGTCGACTTTAATTTTCCTTTCTTTTCTTCTCAGGAGGACAAGAAGACCTCATTCTTTCCTATGAGCCTGTAACAAGGCAGGAAAGTAAGTTTCCCAGCCTACTCAGGTTCCCGATTTCCAGGCTGAACCAAGTGACACCAGCGAAGTAGGGGTTGAGTAAACAACTAAGGCAAATAAATTTAGCTTAGTTCTTAGTTATGCCTAGAACCCACCCTGCTGTCTCTCTGTTGCCTTAACACGGTGCAGACTTCTCTGCTGAGTGTGATAACAGCATCCAAAAGGGTAGAGCAGCCTTTTGGATGAGTGGCCTTAATGCAAAGGAATACAGTCAAATCACCCAAGGGCCCTAGCTGGAGGAGTGATGGAGAAAATCTCCTGGGAAGCTGATGTCAGCCCAGAATTGAGGATTTTCTAGCAAACCTGAGATACAGACCATCTGAAGCTACTCCAGGAGCCTGAGGTCCTTTTCCTGGAGGCATTTTCCTGGAGGACTGATAGCTACTGATAGCAATGTTGCAAAGAAAATTCAAACTTGAGATAAAGTGGCTTCTAATCCCAGGCACAAAGGAATTGGGGAAGACCTCAGCAAAGTATAGATAGTATTTTGAGTAAGGAAAAGAAATTATAAAAACGTAAGGTGTCATTACTACTAACAATTACTTTTAAACAATAGTCATACAACTGGTTTGAATTCTTTTTTTCTCCCACTCAGTTGACTAAATTCAAGTGTTTTGACACAGTGTAGGCACAACCTGAGAATAAGCAAAACTCCCCCAAAAGGGTCTTTTCAATGACAGATGCCGCAGTTGCTTTTCCCTGTTAGTGAATTCCAGAAAGTAGCACAGCCATCATCCTGAGGGTTAAACATCCGTTTCCCTATGCAGGGCTACATGGCTAATTTATCCAAAGTTATGCCCTTAGCAGTCCTTGCTGCTTGGCACTTTCTCCTTAAGAACCCCTTGCAGGATGGTGCTGGAGTTGTCTTCATGTCTAACTGCTACCTGTCATCTGCATCTTCCCATCCCTATCTGCAGTAAACTATACCCGGCCAGTGATTATCCTAGGCCCCATGAAGGATCGAATCAATGATGACTTGATATCTGAATTTCCTGATAAATTTGGCTCCTGTGTGCCTCGTGAGTATCTTTTTTTTTTCCCCTCCAGGATAAAAGCTTGAAATCTTTGAGGTGATAAAATGTAATTGCATCCCTTCAATAGTCTCTCTGATGATTCAAACACCACCAGTTACTTATTATCCGAGCACCTTATTTTTTTTTTTAGCTAACACTTTTTATCTATGCTGCCATTTGGTAAGTATAATAACATTCTCTCCAAACTAACTACAGTTCCTTAGAAGACAGAAGGGATTCTTTATAACCCCCCTAGCACTTAAAACCGAATGATTTATAATAGACATCTGCATGTTCTCACAGATTGATTGAAATGCCAGTGTAGCATCGTTTTCCATAGAATGAGAGATCAGGAACCTCATCCATTAAAATCACCTCAGGATGACTTAGGAAAGTGCGTCAAGCCCCAAACCTAATAACCTCTTCCCCGTGTATTTTAACAGTCTCAACGCATGAGAAAATGAGAATGAGAATGTGTATGAGGCTTTACTTTCTAGACCACGATAGACTTGAATCTGTTTTCTTTGTCATCACAGATGATCATCAGGTCTCTGGGCCCCTCTGAGCACAGCCCTAGGAGATTCTGTCTGTTATACCTCTTTCCCTACCACCATGCTTGTCCACTCACTCATCCCATGCACAGAAATCTCCTATACTTGGAGACATGCCCACCAGGAAATTGTCACTTATCAGAAATGAAGCTCTTAAATCTGATCCCAACAAATATTTGTCACTACATTTTTTAAGCTTTTAAGTTGCAAGTGTCTCTAACATTTTAGCACTTTAAATTTCACCTAGCATTCTAAACAATATCAGGAATTAGATGTGTAGAATATGTAGAAAAAGAGGACAAGGACCATTGCTGTATCTCCTGAACTGATTCCCAACAAGGACTCTGGGGAGAGGTCCTGACATAGACCATATCCCTAGAAAGGCTTCAGAGCAGAAAGTGCAAATGAAGCCCCCACTGTGTCCAGCAGATTCCAGTTTGACCCTCCACTTTTGAGGGCAAGAAAACAGAAAATCCTTAAGTACCAACCATGCACACGCTTTCCTTTTCTCATAAATAGCACTATTTATGGTAATCAATACATGCTGGTTGTACCAAACTTCAAAATGCTAAAAAGAAAGTTAACCAAGAAACTGAAAAATAAACAGAATCCCACACAATACCCAGAAATAATATCACTGATATAATATTTTGGTAAATTTCCATCTACTCTGTCCTAGTGCATGACCAAATTTCTTAACATTACTTAAAATGTTATGTAACTATTTTAAATATTTATTCCATCATAATCATTCTTTACCTATAGGCATCTTGGATTTTCCCTATACTCTATTACTGTGAATAAAATATAATTATAATCATGTTTATAATGAAAGTTAGAATCATTTAAGAAATAAAACTGTACCTGAACATTTGATTTTTTTAAGACAAATTCTTATAAAACTAGTCAAAGATTGGAAATATTTTAACTTTTTAATTCCTATTGCTAGATTATTCCCCTTCTTACTAATACATTTAAGTGAAATAGATTTGCTGACTTTTAGTCCCACCTGAATGGTTATTTCTTATTATGCATATTTTTAAATCTCTGAATATATGCCCATTTTTCCTCCTACTTATGTCACACATTTTCTTCCCTGCTTCTCACAATCCATTATTTTGTGCTAGACATGGTAATTTTATATATATATATATATATATATATATTAGGAGAAGGGTTGGATTTTCTGATATAGGGCCTCACAACTAGCCCAGGCTGGCCTAGAACTTGCCATGTAGCATAGGGTGGCTTTGAACTCATAATCCTCTTGCCTCCACCCCCCAAGTCCTAGGATTGCAATGATGTACCACCACACCTAGCATGGAAAGTCTAGATTTTGTTATATTCCTTTATAGAGTGTTTTTGTCCTGACAAACAGTAGTTTCCTATCAGACCAGCTTGTTCCAGTCATGACTTGGACTTAGACTGTGTAAAGGTGGATCTAGAGTAAGTCCAGAGTATCCCTTCTAAAATGTAGCCTTTCTGGGGTATCAGTTAATTCCCTGTTCTGGCTAAATGTCTCTCAACAGTGTGACCTCTTCATTCTCCATTTGGAAATAGCCCCTAGGTATTTCTCTCCTCTTGAAATTATAGCTCTGAACCCAGGTGTGGTAATACATGCCTGTAATCCCAGCACTCAAGAGACTGAGGCAGGAGAATCACCAAGTGTTAGGCTGGCCTGGGTTACATAGTGAGACCCTGTCGCAAAAAATCAAAACTAAAAAAATTACATCTGTAATTTTTGTATGACGCCTGAACAAAGTTTGTTCCTTATATTTTTTCCAGCTTTATAGTCGTTTATGGTGAGAGAGTAAGACTGGTGACTGTTATTACATCGTGGTCCATCATATTACGTGTATCTGTGTTGAGGATATGGTAAAGAAAATAGGTAGAAAGGAAGTTGATGAATATAAATGCATCTTAAATTCATTATTTCTTGTTTTATATAGACACTACGAGGCCAAAACGTGACTATGAAGTGGATGGAAGAGACTATCACTTTGTCATTTCCAGAGAACAAATGGAGAAAGATATCCAAGAGCACAAGTTTATAGAAGCCGGCCAGTACAATGACAATTTGTATGGAACCAGTGTGCAGTCTGTGAGATTTGTAGCAGAAAGGGTATGTTTGCCAGTCTTCTTACAGCCCCCCTGAGGAAGGTTTCTAGGTGGCAAACTACATTTTTTGGTCATTACTCTTTCCTGATTGCAGATGTAAATTTTGATTAAATATCCTTTTTAAGATATCCATGCAGACAATCACCTCAGAGCAATGTCATTAATCTTTATTCTAATCTCAATAAAGTATTCTGACTGACTTGGAGAGGGGGAAAGAGAGGGCTCCATAAACCTAAAGACAGTTAACAGCCTGGTTTATGGGGACTCACTTTGTCCTTGACTTTCTATTTGAGACACCAGTAAATAAAATTGAATTCATTTAGGAAGCTTTGCTACTTTTGCTACACTAACCAAGAAAAAAAAGAAAAGACCCAAATAAATAAAATCAGAGGTACAAAGGGAGACATTATAACCAATATCACAAAACTACAAAGGATCTTTATGAATTCTAAAGAAAAACTGTATGCTCACAAATGTGAAAACCTAGATGGTATAGACAAATTTCTGGACACAAGTGGCCTATCAAAACTGAATATGAGGACATAAAAAACCTGAACAGATCAATCACATGCAACAGTAATGAATTAGTAATAAAGAGTCTCCCAACAAAGTAAAGCCAAGGACCAGATTGCTTCAGCTGCTGAATTTTACTGAGGTTTTAAAGAACAAATGCCAATTCTTCTCAAACTATTCCAGAGAACTGAAAGGGAGGGAACCCTTACAAACTCAGTCTGTGAAGCCAGCATTACCCTGTTACAAAAACCACACAACAATACAACAACAAAAAAGAACGTTATTGACCAATATTTGACACAGATGCAAAAATCCTCCACAAAATGCTGATAAATCAAACCAGACATGGTTTGCACACATGTAGTCCCAGCTATGTGAGAGGCTGATGTGGGAGGGGGCATCATTTAAGCATTCATTTTCAAGACCTACCTGGGCAACTATAGAGACCCTGTTCTCTTTCCCATCCCACCCCACCCCCAAAATACTAGCAAATCTAATTCAACAGCACATCAAAAATATCATTCACCATGGTCAAGTTAGTTTCATCCCAGGGATACAAATATGATTCGACATACACAAATCCATAAACAAGATGCATCACATCAACAAAATAAAGGATAAAATCATATGATCATCTCAATAGATGCAGAAAAAACATTTGATAAAATTCAATTTCCCTTCATAATGAAAGCAGTAAACAAATACGTGTAGAAGGACCTACCTCAACATATTAAAAGCTATATACGAAAAACCCATGGTCAACATCAAACAGAATAGGGAAAAACTGAAAGCATTTCCTCTAAGATGAGGAAATAGACCAGGGTATTCATTTACACCTCTTACTCGACATAGTACTAGAAGTTTTAGCCAGAAAAAATAGGCAACAAAAAAAATAATAAAAGGCATACAAATAGGAAAAGAAGGGGTTAAATTATTGCTGTTTGTACATGATATGATTCTACATATAGAAAAGTGTAAAGACTACTACAACTGATGAACAAACTCAGTAAAGTAGCAGATATAAAAATCAGTACATTTTCTATACATCAATAAAAAAATTCCAAGAAAAAAATCATGAAAGCAATCCCATTTGTAACAACTACCAAAAATAAAATACCTAGAAATAAACTTAACGAAGGAAATAAAATAGCTCTAAAATGAAAATTATAAAACACTGATGAAAGAATTTTTAGAACACTCAGAAAGATGCAAAGAGCTCCCATGTTCATGAATTGGAAGAATTAATATTATTAAAATGTCCGTACTACCCAAAGTGATAATACAATCTTTATGAAAATGCAAATGACATTCTTCACAGAACTTGAAAGAATTTAATCCTAAAATTTCTATGGAAGCACAAAAAATTCCAAATAGCCAAAGTCATCTTGTGCAAAAAAGAACAAAGCAGGAGGCAGCACAGTACCTGATTATAAGACATACTGTCTGGCCAAAGTAGCCAAATGACATGATATGGGCATGAAAACAGGCACATAGGCCAATAGAAAAGACCCGAGATTCCAAAAGTCAACCCGGACATGTGCAACCAATGATTCTTGACAAACTCAACAAAAACATACATTAGAGAACTGCCTCTTCTATAAATGTCAATGGGAAAACTGGAGATCTACATGCAGAAGCCTAAATTTGACCCTTATCTCACCCTGTATGAAAATCATCTCAAAATGGATTAGACTTAAGTTTAAGACCTGAAACTGATAGAACACAGAGGAGAAACACCTTAAGCCATTGGCATCAAAAGTGCCAATTTGGATAGGATCCAAATGCACAGAAAACAAAAGCAAATACTGTCACTAGGTATTACATCAAATGAAAACACTTCTATACACACACACACACACACACACACACACACACCACACAAATCAGAGTAAAAAGACAATCTACTGAATAGGAGAAATGTTTGCCAACTATTCATCTGCTACATACACAGGACTTAAACAAAAAACAAAACAATTACTCCAGTTCTTTAAATGGGCAATGATTTGAATTGACATACTAATGACCAACAAATATATGAAAAAGCATAGCATCATTAGCCATCTGGGAAATGTTAGTCAAAATAACAGTAGATACCATTTTGTCCTAGTTAGACTGACTATTATTTTAAAAAATGTTAATCAGGATGTGGAGAAAAAGGAATTCTAATATTCTGTAGGTGGGAATATAAATTATTATAGCCATTATGGAGAACAGTATAGAGGTTCTTCAAAAACTATTATGATCCAACTGTCCCGCTTCTGGATATATATCCAAAAGAAATGAAATCAGCATAGCAAACAGACACTGCATTTTCCTGTTTATTTCAGCATTAGTCAACAGTAGCTAAGATATGGAGTCAGCCTAGGTGCCCATCAATGGATGGATGTGTAAACAAAATGTGGTATATATCCACAATGGAGTATTACTCAGCCACTGAGTAATATTCAGTGGCTCAAGTGGTAGAGCACTTGCCTACCAAGGGTGAGGCCCTGAGTTCAAAACCCCAGTAACTGCCAAAAGAAAGGGAGGGAGGAAGGAAGGAAGGGAGGGAGGGAGGGAGGAAGGGGAGGAAGGGGAGGAAGGAAAGAATTCTGTCATTTGAAGCAAAATGGATGGAACTGGCAGACATTATGTTAAGTGAAATAAGCCAGAAACAAAAAGGCAAGTACTGCATATCTCTCTCATATGTGAAAACTAAAAGTAGAATAGTGATTACTAAGGACAGAGGAGGTTGTGAGGCCAGGAAAGGTGGGAAAAGGGTGGTTTTATTTGATTGGTACATACCTTATGCATATATGGAAATATAGACCTGAACCCCATTTAAATGTATAATTAATGTGTGTTTACAAAGAAATTCAGTGTCTATCATAGAACATACTGAAATGTCTGTTTTCCTCTCTCTGAATGGCAGGTTCCATCAGCTGTATGGATACTGGTCTTAGTGTCCCAGAAATTAGCATCCATTTTCCTCTTTAAACATGTCAAAATGTTCTAGACAGTGTATAATCAGACAGCATTTATACCTTTTATATGACTGCTGCACTTCACAGATAGCAAACTCGAAATTTATTAGTTAAGTGATAAAGACTTGAACCTTTCAGTGTATTTCTCATATGAGTTCAAGTATTCATTAGACTCTTCATTTTCATGCAGATATTATAGATGAGTCTTTACCTCTTATTGATCTAAGACTATTCCATTCTGTATAAAATGCTTTTTTTTCTCTTCTGTGTGAAGTACTTCTAGCCTGAGGGTAACAAGATCATTTCTCTCCAGGAGACAGAACATGATGGAGCCAATGCATCTACTTTTCTAGAAATATTTTTACAATGGCTCTTTGCTGTGAGCACTGATTGCAGTAGAAGCCAAGTTAAATGAGGTGTGCTATAATATAATAGATTTTTTTTATCTGTTAATATACAAGTAGTTTACATACCCTCTGCAAGACTCTCCCAGCACTGAACCATATAATACTGAAAGTAGCTCTTTTCATTTCTGTCCTCCACTAGGACTGAACATTTCAAGGGCAGGATATATAAAAGCACTAAGTGATCGTAGGACATTATTCTAAATTCACATGATTACCATCCTTTCAAATTTAACACTGGTCAGGGTGTGACAGTGAGGTGGCTATAAATTCCAAATCTGGGTTTGATTCTTCCTGGTACTGAATTTTGGGACAAGTTAGTTAATATTGCTAAGCCTTAGTCTTGTCTTCTATAAAATACTATTGTTAACTGTCTCAAACATTTGGGAATTGTTCTTTTCAACCTTCCTCTAAAACATACATGATTTCCTTTTCATTGGATTATGACCATTCATTCAGAATTAAGTTCATATTTTTCTTCTTTTTCTACCAGGGCAAGCACTGTATACTTGATGTATCAGGAAATGCCATCAAGCGATTACAAGTTGCCCAGCTCTATCCCATCGCCATCTTCATAAAGCCCAAATCTCTGGAACCTCTGATGTAAGTAGAGGACACTGGAGGTCCACATCCAACTAAGTCCCTCTTCCATATTTCATGGCAAATTGTTAACAAGTCACAAGAGCTTACAAATAGGAAGCACCATGCCATCGTTGCTTTTTAAGCATTCCCTTTTTTAAAAAAAGATAGATTAAAATTTTTGAGTCACTAAAGATGTCAGTAATTCTTTAAATGTTTTTACTATTTTTTTTTAGCATTAAAAGAAATTTTGATTCTTAGTCAAGAATAGGAGAAGTAGGAAATAAACTCAAAAATTAACTTATCAACCCTGGGGAGGGGGTTCAGAAAGTAGATCTACTGTAAAAAAGTGGGGAAGAGGGATTGATCTAATAAAGGGAAATAATATTCGTGTCTTTTCTGGGAATGGGACAATGGATGGAGATTTTCTTGGAAGTCATGTGCCTCCTCTTATTGCTCCTTTTATGGTTCTTTCCAGGAGTTGCCTTGGTAATTGTGACACTGGAGGGTGTGTCTTTAGCATGCAGATAGAATTATAATGAAGTTACTGGTTGTCTGGCTGTCACTTTGGCAATCATCTTACAGCCAACCAGTTTCAGCTAGCCCACCTGAAGAACATCCTGTCCTCAAATATAATCAGGATTAGGATGGGGTAGAATTCAGCTAGGTCACCTAGACAGTGCTCAGGGTAATAAATCCCCTCTTATTCTCACTCCTCATTCTTTTTTAAAAATTTTTTTATTAGGATGTATTCATTGCACAGGAGAAATTCATTGTGACAATTCCAAATAGGCTTATATTGTACATTGATCAGATCCCCCCACCATCTCTCCCCTTGCACCCCTCTCGGCCCCACTTCAAGCAATTGCAGGAAGTTTCATTGTTCTAATTTATATAGGTATATGAAGTCCATCAACTAGGTTCCTTCACCTTAATCTCATTGGCTCACCCTCCTCCCTCCCACAAGTACCCACATAGTATTCTTTCATTATTAATTTCTAAGTCAATCAATGTTCAAAGGGGCTTCTTTATGTATTCCTACTGTGATTACACTTCACTTTGGTTCAACCCCTTCCATTACTCTCCCTTACCCCTTCCTTCCCACCCTCCTTTTTTCAACAGCTTTCAATACATATGATTATATCCTCTACCTTCATAGATGTTATGTTTTACAATATGGTTGACGCTTTCTCTTTTCCTTTCCCTCCTTCCCCAAGTTCCACTGTTACAAGCATGTTCTACATGTGAGTTTGTATATGATCATGTTGGGTTTTGTGTATATGTTTATCTTTTGGAGCTATCTTCCACATATGAGAGAAAACATGCAGCCTTTGTCTTTCTGAGCCTAGCTTACTTCACTTAACATGGTATCCTCCAATTATATCCATTTACCTTCAAACCACATGGTTTCATTCTTCCTTATGGCTAAGTAAAGCACCATTGTGTATATAACACATTTCTTGATCCATTCATCAGTTGTAGGGCATCTGGTTGTTTCCATAGCTTGGCTATTATGAATAGTGCTGCAATAACCATCAGTGTGCAAGTGTCTCTACTGTATCATGATTTATGTTCCTTCTGATATATACCCATGTCACTCCTCATTATTGAGGATGCTGAAGAGTGACAGTCTGCCTTGTGTAATTTTTTTTTCAAGTTGAATTTGAGTGTGGTTAAAGGGCCCATTAGAGGAGTGAAAACTTTCCCTAGCTAATTTGAAATAGGCTTGGTTATTGCCTGGCCTTAGGCCTAACTGATTATACCCCTAAGTGCCTATCATTTGTAACTTTATGGCCTCCATCCTTTTACTCACAAAAAAAAAAAAAGCAAGCAGTTGAGGATGCATGGCCTGGAGAACAGAGAGAGCAGGAGAACTTTTAGGAAGCAAAAAACAGGTAATGTTTGATAGGACCTCTTCGACTTTGTTTCATTTATCAAGTATCTTGGGCAAAGATGGCTGCAGGTTCATTACTGAGTTGGGTTGCCTTTTCTAAAAGCCTATAGGCTCCTTTTATGTCTCCACTAGTGTTTATGTAAAGATAATGTCTATCAGTGCTTCTGGACAATAACCTTAAAAAGAAGACAGATATTTAATCCTTAAATAGCAGGAGCATTATAAATCACAGGGCAGAGCATAGAAAGGAACACAGCCAGACCAGAGACCAAATGAAGGTGTATCTATGCTCCTATGCAAACACTGTGCCATTAAACACCACAGGCATTTACGTACAACTTCTGTTATAGGTCCAGAGTCCTGGGATCTCACTTCTACTTTGTAGGCCTAAAGATCTTTGCATTCACTAATGTTTCTTGATTTTTACTTTTATATTTCACAAGTTACTTGTTTTGTTTTATCTTCGTGCTTTGTTTTTGTTGTTGTTTTGTGGGAAGTTTGGTTTGGTTTGGGGTTTTTTTGTGTGTTGTTTTATTTCAGTTTTGTTTTGTTTTTCAAATGGCAGGAAGTGATCATCTTTGAATTTTGTCTCTTACTTTTGAGAACAGTTCTTGAAACTGTATGGGTTTTTTTGTTTTGTTGTTTTTTTATAGAGTCTAAAATGAACATTTTAGATTTTTTCCCCTGGCATTTTACTTGGTTATATAATAGAGTATTGTTTTCCTTAATGAAAACTTGACATAGATACACTACTGTTCTTAATATTTCTCTTAGTGACATGACAGTAAAACACCTCTAACTCCATATCTGTGTGCATTTATGAACAAGGGGAGAATACATGACCCAGACTTCTTTAAGGACTTCAAAATATCTTCATTCAAAAATCAGTAAACAAATTGTGCAGATATTCATGATCTGACTATAATGTCACTGTAGGCAACTCCCATCCAAAAGTAAAGCTACAACAGGTGTATGTATAGTGAGAGAACAGAGTGGATTAGTGGGTCTGAGGGTACAACAGGAGGCAGGAGAGGGAGAGAAAATGTTAGAGAATGAAAAATATTGAAACAACCCATCTGTATATGAATACAACATAGCAGAATGTACTGTAAGTTGCTGAATATTAGGGGAGCATGGTGATAGAGAAAGTGTAAGTAATGGGGGAGTTATTTTGATGAAAGCACAATATAAACAGGCCTGAAGTAGAAAGGTGAAACCCTCCTTTCACTATCAATATATACTTTTTTTAAAAATGAAGGACAGGAAGGAAAAACAGTTTTTTTCCAGATGCAGGTACCAGTGGGAGGGGTGGGCACAAGGAAAGGGGGAATAAGGGTGAATATTGTGGATGTATTTTGTATTCATGTATGAAAATAGAAGAATGAAACCTGTTGAGATTGTTCTAAGATAGGAGGATGGGGGGAAGAGGGAGATGATGGAGGGGGTAAATCTAAGATACATTGTAAGCACATATGTAAATATCACAATGTATCCCCCCTGTGCAACTGTTATGTGCTAATAAAAAGTAGATAATGGTAGCAGAGTAAAATGGACACAAATGGAGGCTTGGAAACAGGTCGGGCTAAGTTTGGTTCTTTGCTTTTCCAGTGATCAGTTATGTAACCTTGGGAAAATCGCTTGACCTCCCTAAGATTTATTTCCTCACCTCCAAAATTACCTCAAAATACCTCATAGATCCAAGGTTAAACAAGTTCATGAATATAAAGTTCTTCATACTTGTTGGTACTTAGTAAATGCTCAATAAATAATAGTTAATATAAAAAACATAATATTCCTTTATTATAAAATATTGATACAATTTTGTCATTATAAAACATATAAAGAGTTTCCAAGAAAGTGCAAGAGATAATGCCAGTGTGTCTGTTACAAGAATCTTACTTAAATACTGCCTCCATTTAGATCTCGACAGTGTGTTCACAGGGGGTCCAGGAGTGAACAACAGAGTACACACTGGAAAAGTGTTTATGGAAAATCTGTAAAAATATTTAATCCCAGAGGTGACCACAGATATTTGCCAAGGATATTAACAAACTATTGTGGTCTCCTCTGAGGAAGAAGCAAAGTGAACCACAGTAGCTGAAATGGAAACCTTAGAGAATGAAGTTAAGTAAATAGTTGATCTCTGGGGAAACCGCCAGGAACATAGCTCCAAAGCATAATATATTCCCAAATACAAAAGACAGACAAGGACTTTTAACCAATATAAGGAAATAAAATTGGGAGGTCACTGTCATACCTTTAGCCCGATGAATTTAGATATTATACTGTGAAGAAATTTTCCAATAGTCACCACATGGAAAATGTGTGCTGGGCTGCATGGAGGGAGGACATACCTATAGTTCCAGTTCCCAGTTCAGGAGCTAGAGATGGGAAGGACTGCAGTTTGAGGCCAACCCTGGGCAAAAACAGTTAGCAAGACTCCCATCTCAACCAATAAGCCAGATATGTTTAAGAGCTTATAATGCCAGCTATGTGGCAGGTATCAGTGGGAGGATCATGATCCAAGAGCAGCCCTGGGCAAAAACATGAAACCCTACCCAAAAAGTAACTAAAGCAGAAAGGGCTGGGAGTGTGGTCGAAATGGTGGAGCACCTTCCTAGAAAACCCAAGGCCCTGGCTTCAAACCTTAATAATGTGCTTAATTTATCCTTCTGTAGGCCACTGTGTTGGACATTGCATAAAGTGAGTTAAGCAATCACAAATACTGTTATGTAAAGATGATTTCTAATCTGTAACAAGCCTCACAAATATTACAAGTAGTGCTAACATTAAGAGTAGGAAAATGGCTCTGGCCTCTTAAGAACAGCATCCTAGAAGCCTATTTCAGAAATAGAAGCGAGGCTCACAAGGTGACCATGCAATGGGGTAGAGGGCTTCCTTGGGAAGTATAAGGCCTGAGGGAGCAACAGCCATGGCACATGTGGCCGAGTATGACAATGGAAGACAGTCCCATCTGGTGCTCAGTCGGAGAAGGTCTACTTCCTTCCACAAATATCAGATGACTTATTTAGTTTGGCTTTAGGGCACTGTCACAGTTACTTATCACCAAGGAAAATGAAGCATCCCAAAGGCTGAATAGTAAGCATACTGAACACAATGAGCACAGTGAGTCTGACATCGCCTGCTGCAGTCAGACCAATGTGATCCCATTACTAAATGCTGCCATGTTTATGGTTCACTCATTTCTGGGGCTTTTTACTTCACAAGCAATGCTGGCATGAATTGCCCATTCCCCGGGAAGGAGTGACTGCTCGGTCAGCTGGAACAAAAGCATGGCAGCTGTCACATTCAGGCATTGATAACACCCTCGCACACATTATTTCTCAAGTGCAAATCCACATCAAACCACGGAGCTTATTAATGCATACATAGCTGACTGTTCAGATGAGCGTAAAATCAAGGGCATGTACTTTTTATATCGTGCCGCCACCTAACTTGTTCCCTGACTCCCCAGCAGTGAGAGGCTTCCCCACATCTCTTCGCCCTGCCACCTCCGATCTCTTTCTACCTCCTTGCTCCATGATGTGCTGCTTACTTCTGCCTTTGTGTGTAATTATACACAAAGTTAGCCTTTGTTCGGCTAACTTCCCATTTAATCATTCATGTATATTCACTCAATAATCACTGAATTGAGCTTCATGCCACATGTAAATGAGTAAGTCATGGCTTTTGCCCTCCAAGAACTTGCAGATTAGGCAAGCAGACAAAAAAATTCCCCCATTAGAGGAGAACAACCTAAAGCAAGTTTCTGCTACAGTAAGCGGAAAGAGAATTCAGGAAAACAAATCGAGTATCATGAACCAAGCAAGTCAAAGGAGATCGAGAATTACATGTGTGGAAAATCATCATCTCTCTCTCGAATTATCTCTTGGTCTAGCCCAGCATCTTCTGCACCCAAGAATGACATCCACTTATAGCTTCTGTGGATAGGACTTTTGGGGACAAGAGTTCAGGAAACTCTTACTTTATGTTGCAGCTCTCTGTTACATCCAAAACCATGTTAATTTCTAACTTCAGGGGGTGTTTGGTTTTTAATACAAAGAATTCTGTTTCAAAAGTCTTAGTATAATAGGAAGTCTCATTGACTAGGGTTTAAAAAAATTATTTGAGTTCTTACCCCAGATTGGTCTATTAAGTGTACAGACTAGGGAAGTTCTTTCATTATTTCTGGTCTCCATGATCTGTGCTGGAAAGGGACTGACTAAGCCAGGTGTTCCAGGTCCAGATCTCTAGCATCTTAACTGACACACAAGGCAGTGACACCTTCAGAAATTCTGCATGTACCTGTGATGTATCCTGGTGGATCAACCAAAATCTCTCTGCATTTGGCTGACCTTTTTTATAATACCTGGAGAACATGGGAGGATAAAACTACCATTGGTTAAGCATTAGTAAATTTTAGAGAGAGTTCAGATTTTCAGTTCTCCCCTACCTTGATTTGTCCTTGAGACTAGGCCAGGTTTAAAAAAAAACTTACAATGATTAAGCAACATTTATATACAGTTAATGATAAACCAATGGTTGACAAACTGATAAAAAGAAAAAGACAGATAGTCCTAGGCATAATTGCTTTATAGCCCATTGTCCTATCAGAACAAAAACAAAGTAAGCATCTGAGTTTCTTCTTTGTGTGTGTGTGTGTGTGTGTGTGTGTGTGCGTGTGTGTGTATTAATTGACACATAGTAATTACACACATTTATAGACTATGGTATAATTTCAGTACATGAATATAATGTATACTGATCAGATCAGAGTTATTGGCATATATATCACCTCATGCATATTTCATTTCTTTTTTTGTTGGGAACATTTAAATCCCCTCTACTAGCTATTTTGAAATACTCAATTAACTGTCACCAACCATAGTTATCCTGTTATCCAACTGCACCCTGTACCTGTAAATCATACTAGAAATTCTTTTATACCAAGTTCATCTATTCTGGCTCACTATTTGACCAAATTATGTGATTACTGTCTATTTGAAAACATTTTAGTACCAGCGATTTTATTAGCATATGTTAATTTACAAAGGGGTTCCATTGTGATATTTCCATATATCATATTTCAGTCCTTCAGCAGGTCCTTCAGCTGTCATTTGGTTATAAAAACAGGAAGCCCAGAGCTCCTATTGCTATAGGCATGCCTTGACACTTACAGAAGCTGAGGAGCAAGAGCTGCAGCATACCTTTCTGCCAGGAGAGACACATGGGCCGAAGGGCTCTGCCCTATTTTCTATAATTCTTTAGAAGCACTTTGTGTTTTTCCACTCCACATGTTCCCTGATGCACACTGACAATGAACAGCAACCCTTAAGGAGGACGAGGGAAGAAATCAAAGCCTTTTGCAAGGTCGAGACTCACGAACGGTCAAGCCTACCTCTCTCAGATATGATGAGACCCCAACAAGGCAAGATATACTTTCCCTTCCCTCCATCTCCCCTGCCTCTGACCACCTGGAAGATTTTCTTCAGTTCTATGTCCCACATTTAAGAGCAGCTGAAATGTACCAAAATAGGTCAAATGAAGGATGGTCAAAAGTTTGGATTTAGAACTCATTTCCAGATGAAAGAAGTAGGATAATTTATTCTAAAGAAGTAGATGCCTCAATGGACACTCAGGCACTTCATTTAAGTACCCTAGGGCCAGCCCTGGAGAAAGGTTAGCCCTACTCTAGAAACTGCAGGGGACAGAACAGGGACAAGCCACTACAAAACATGAGGAGACAGGCTCTGCTTCCATCCAATGCGAGGCCAAGAGCATGCCCTCATCAACAGTGAGCTCCCTGGCAGGAAGCCCTGGATGAAATTAGTCCAGAAAAGACAGGTCAAAAACAAAGACTAGGTAACTACTACTAAGATTAAATTGTGCTTCCTGCAGCGTTCTCTGCCATGCATTTTAAGTTTTCAGGATTTGGTATATTTGCTTTGTGTTCTAATACCAAGCCTTCATTTTCCCAGGGAGATGAATAAGCGTCTAACAGAGGAACAAGCCAAGAAAACCTACGATCGAGCAATTAAACTAGAACAAGAATTTGGAGAATATTTTACAGGTAAGTTCCCTTACTTTGGTATTTGAGAAAGGAGATAAACCATCTAACATTTGGCTTAGAGAGGGCTCCAGGCCTGGTATACCTGAGCCCTAAAATCTCCCTGCTGAGAATTCCTAATACTATTTTACGCATAGTAAGGGTTCTCTGCTTCAGCCATTTGATTTACAACTCTAGGTTCTCTCTTCTCTGAGTGCAGCTGCAGTCACTCCCAGGTTCCAGGTGGCCCTATCGAATGCCATGAGAGGCAGGCGCCCCTGAGCTTTCTCCAGCTATTAAGGAGATTTTCAGCATTGATACCTCATTAAGCTATCACTCTGATAGCATCAGAAAACTTGAAAAAGAAACTTTTCAGGCTCAAAATAGGCAATGGCCATGCAGTTACTCTTTGGTTTTTGTTTGGTTTAGTTTTCCTTTTATGGTGCTGGGGATCAAACCCAGGGCCTTGGTGCATGCTAGGCAAGTGATCTACCCCAAGTCACCCTCCCAACCCCTATAGAAGTTATTCTTCAAGATCAGTCTCCAGTCCTCCACTCTCTGTCTAGACTCCATCAGCAGCACTTGAACAACACACTTGGAACCCTTTCCTGTGTTTTATTTAATTCTGTATCCTCAATGTAAACCCTTTTTTTTTTTCTTTTTAAATTTCTTTGGAAACATGAAGTTAGGAGACTAGCAAAAGAATTCCTTCCCTCTGGATATCCTGAGTTCTCTGCTCTTTTATATTTTCATGATTAAATCCACAGAACAACCAGAACTGGTAGAATTGACCTTATAACTGATTCTCAATGGTTTAAAAATAATAACTGTCCTCCTGAATTACCTGGTGTGAAATTAGATGTTTTATTTTTTATCATATAAGAATACAGAAAGTGCCAGTAACATGGCAGTTGGAAAATATTTTTAATAGGATAATATTAGGTAAAGTTTCTGTCAATAACTGAAATGTGAGTTAGGTTTAATCCTAAAAGACCATCCAATAAGAAAATCAAATCATTTTTACCAGTGTTTCATTTTCAGGAATAAAACATTATAATTAGTATACTCTGAGATTATTTTTGAAGATCTAAACTGTATTTCAGTAGCAATTTATTTTGAATCCTTGGTGTATATGGATAGTACTGATGTGTTTTGGAAATTTCGCTACCAGATAGCTTTTGTTCAAAGGAAATAAAATCTACTTAAATCTACTCGGAGTGACCTAGTTAAGTAATGTACAGTTTAACTATATATCTTTCCTCTTATTTATGTTTCTTATAAGTAGTGGCTATCAGGTGTTCTCAGTATAAATAGCCCTATATGGTAAGCTCTTAATTTACCACATTACCTAGAGAATAATTGGGGTTTCCTATTAGGGGTTAGGGCAGTTAATGTTTCCTCCAAAGTCTTCATTATGTCCTCATCTAAAATACCTGAATTTCTCTCTCAGCTAAAATAAATATAGAGACTATAAAGCCAGATTTTTTTTTTTTTTTTGCAAAACATGGAATTCAATCTGAAAGTCAATCAACTGCAGTGCCTGGCTCTGAGTAGGCTCCCATAAAAGACTTGTTAAATAAATGAATGATTTATTGTCAGAATTAAAGATTGCATGTATTTATTACTGATCTAGGACATGCATTGAAAGCAGTTTTTTTTTTTAAATATTGATGTGACCTTGCTCATGTGAATTTTCTGTTTTTACTACTGAAAGTGATACTAAGCTTCCTGAGGGTTTGTTTGTCACTGACTCCAGCTTCTGTCCGTGAGTGATGAGTGTTCTGTTCCCTTACCCCCAGGGAATGATTCTTAACTCCAGACATGTTCCCTTTTGTTACAGCTATTGTCCAAGGAGACACCTTAGAGGATATATATAACCAATGCAAGCTTGTCATTGAAGAGCAGTCTGGGCCTTTCATCTGGATTCCCTCAAAGGAAAAGTTATAAACTAGCTACTGCGCCTCTGACAACGACAGAAGAGCATTTAGAAGAACAAAATATATATAATATTCTACTTGGAGGCTTTTATGTTTTTGTTGCATTTATGTTTTTGCAGTCAATGTGAATTCTTATGAATGTACAACACAAACTGTGTGAAGCCATGAAGGAAGCGGAGGGGCCAAATGGTAGGACAGAAAAGACATTGCAGTATGCAGGAAGGCTTTGGTTTGTTCAGAGTACCAGGTGTAGGGATGAACCTCTGACAGGCTTTCTGCCCAGAAGACGGGCAGCCTCCTCACCCCGGCAGATGTCCAGAGCTGATTTAGCTGCTGAGCTCTCTGTGTTTTTTTGCTTTAAAAGAAAAGTTGGCAGCACTCGAACCTCACCAACCTTCCCATTACCCACATCTGTAATTGGTACACTTCGAATTTTATAACTATGCACATCCTTTGATTTCTTAACAAGCAAAGAAAATAAAGAAGGGAAAAAGAAAGGAGTCCCTTTGGAGATGGCATACTATCAGGGAAGGATAATTGTGTAGTTTCTTTGACTGGCATCTGCAAAGATGAGCATTTCATAAAATTCACAAGTGTATTGAGGACTAACCTTACTGAGAGGAGGGGATTCCACCTGGGATTAGCTTTATGATTGTTGATTGTCTATTTTGCCATTTATAAACTGAAAGAAGGCACTAAAGATGAGAATAATTTATACAATAAAAATATATTAAATGTATAGACATGAATTTCTATAGGTTAAAAAAGTTTTGTGAACTATTTTGTAAAGACTAATTAATTGAAAGACGAAATGTATGCACTATCAGCAAGTGATCAAATTCCAAGAACTGAAAGTTGCACTCTCCCTTTCATTGCCAATGACGCATTCAGAGCATCTGAGTTCCTTCCAAGTCTGACAAAGACTTCTGCCTCATGTACCTCCCATGATCTCCCTTGCACACTAGTGATACACTCTTATGGAGCACATTTCTTAATGAGTTGCCCTCGTGGATATTTTTGGAGGACATTTGGGAAATACAGTTTTCAGCTGATGGCTTTTAGAAACAAACTCATGCAAATGATCTCAAGCTTTTCTCTAGTTAAATAACCTGGGCCTACCATGCAAATAGTTGAATAACTTGCCTCCAATTCCTAAAGTACCATTCTGGCCAACCATGGTTATTCTCTTTTTGTTTCACAGAGTGACTGAGAGTTTTCTAACAGTCTGAGTTGGTATTACATGGGGAGATCTGTCCTGAGACGCACTATTTCTTTGAGGAAGAAAGAGAAGTATGTGGTTGTGTTGGGGGGGGTGAGGGGTGCAGATCTTTTGTTTCAGTATATAGGGCAAAGAGATAGAATCACAAAGAAAGATGATTTATGACTTCAAGCTCAACCAAACTACCTTCCTTGGGGCTGCACCTGGACCAAGTTTATTTTATAACAATTATAATAATGATGACTTTAAAAAAGAAACCTCCCAAAGCCTATAAACTGAAATAGAAGAGTTTCCCACTTTAGAGCTGATGGTGACATCATCATTGGTTTTTCCCAAGGTGTTTAGAGAGAGACCTTCCAGTGGTATTAATAACCACTCAACTCTGGGCTCTGTACATTCCCAGATTAAGCCCCATTGCCTTATTTCTGGGGTACATCAAGACCTGGCAGGATTCTGCCACACTGTGCAGCAAACCAGCATGTAGGCTGGGGTGGGAGAGCAAAAGATAGTCATCAGAATGATGGGGCTTCTTCACAGTAAACACATCATAGCTCAAAAATGAGAGTCTCTTTCCAAAAACAGATGGTCGTTCATCTTACACTAAATACCATTTTCTGCCTAGTTGCAGTCACCAAAAGAAACATAAAAATGCAAAATTTTGCATCTACATAGAGTCTTGAGGCTGCCTCTGCCAATGGACGGGCTAGCAATGCATTTTCCCTCTGATGAAAGTTAAATTTCCAGAGACATCCTTAGAGGGCTCAAGATGTTAAAGATGTATCCATGTCTGCAACACACCAGTTTCAGGTCAAGGCCAACCTTCACTAATATCATTCCCAAAAGTTTTCTGCCACCAGAATGCCATTCCTGATCCCAGCTCTATTTTTAGGCCACCATGATAACTTCTTTGGTTTCTCAACTGAGCATGCAACCATTTATTTAGAGAACCGTCATTAATGAGTAGATGTTTTCTTGGGTCGTGCGATGTGCTTTCCATTTAATAGTGTTGCTGTGGCTGAGTACAATCAAATTGAACCACCAACTCTTGGTTTTGTAGTAATATTTATTTTCCTAGTGTAGATGCTTTCAGATTAGAACTGGCATTTGCACTGATTTTTTATGTAGATTTATATAAATATATATATACATATATATTTGCTTGAAGAATTACCAAGCAAATTGGTGAGAGGGTCTTTTCCTAGAATTTCCACCTCCATTTGTTGTGTTGTCTTGCGCTTTCCAATGTTGAGGTCTCTATGGCTCCAATGAACTGGTGTATTTTGCAGCAAGTCTGATGACTGGTTTGGAAATGGCATGAAAGTTACCCAGAATACATCTGGCGCAAATGCACTTGGAGCCTGGGGCCAGACTGGTGCTAACACTGCAAACTTTGTCCGGAGCTCTCTCCAATCTGAAGGCTTGCTGGGGGGCGCAATGTCACCTTCATATGCTGGGCCCTTTCGGAAAAGTGCCAGATCGTGTCACTGGTGCTATTTTTCATGCTCTGGTACAATGTGTAGCACCACCGGGGGTCTCAGCTTTACCAAAATCAAAATCCCATTGGTCAGCCGATTGCTGGGGCATTTGTTTCCTGCTCTCCTCTCACAAAATTCGTTGGCCATTTATTTGCAGGCCTTTCCTCCTAGACCCAAATTCCTGGTTTGGCTCATCTGCTTATTAGCAAGCCCATCTTTACGAAGCTGCCCTCAGGTGCCTCTGTGAGCTGTCTTAGATCCTACTGCCAGCCCTTCAGGACTGAGCCAGGGAAAACCTCTCCACATCTCTGGCTTTCACCTTTTTTTCTCATTCTTTTCCACTGCTCTCCTATTTCTACCTTACTCCATCCCTCTTTTTTTTTTTTCCCCTCTCTTTTGATCCTTTCTATCCTGTGTTGACCTGGTCCTATAATCCTTTATTCCATCCCCTTTCTTGTCCATCTCTCCTTTTGTCTCATTGCCATTCCTTTCCTATTCCCTCCCTCTCCACATCTTTGATCATTCCCACCATCTACTCATTAATTTTTCTGTCCTATAAAGGGCTCATGGCTGATTCAGACAGCAAGTCCATACACTGGACAAATGACACAAATACTTGGGGTCGCCCTATTACCTACTCAGCCCCGAAAGCAAAGCTGAGCATGAGGCCCTGACCTGGAGCCAGCTCCAGCACGCCTCCTGGAGCCAGCCTGCACCGCTGCACAGCAGTGATGATGCAAGAGCTGTGCACCCCATGGCACCTGGGAGCCTCTGCCTGAATCTGGTCCTCCACAAGCTCATTCCCAACACCACCTGAGGCTCTGAGGACAAACACTTCCTCTCAATAAAGGCAGACTCTGGCCCAATGATTATTCTGAGAGCAAACCTGTTCCTTCTCACTGAAGCTATGACATTACCCTGGTTTGGAGAGAGAGATTTCTTTCCCACTTCCTTTTTGCCCATTTTCATGTGAAGCCCCCTTGCTTTTCAGCTGGTGATTGCTCTGGTGAGATTGAATGGACTCGCTGGTGAAATAACATCTCCTGTTTCCTGCCTTGGTCCTGCCTAAAATTCCTACAAAAAAAGTATTTAAGCCAAGGACTCAGGCTAGTTCCAAAATTTATCATACTAATTTGTCACTCCTATGTGGGGAAAAAGGATCGATTCCCTTAAAGCATGTGGAGTACCTCCTGTGACAACTGATTTGCCAGGAGACTCCCTGAAACTCTGTGGATATGTAGGTATGGTATACATGGAACCATGTATATGCATATTAGGTATGAGTTAATGTGGTTGGAAACTTAAACACACACTCCAGTCTGTAAATAACCTTCCTCACTGAAATCTGTGCTTCAGAAATCATTTCTTGTATAGCTGTGCAGTGTCTTGTAGCAGCTGAGGACAAGCTAAGACAGGCAGATAATTTAGACAAAGATCAGCTAAAAGAGTACAGTATCTCCCTAGCAACTCATGAGGACAGACAACCAACCAAGTGGCAAGGTTGACTCCCAACTGGACAGCAAACTTTTTTTCTCTTCTTTTCGAATTTGTGTTTCCTAAGTGTGTCTTAACTTCTGAGTGCACCAGGTTGTACCTGTTAGATCCTTTTGATATGACAATTTTGTGCTTCTCTCTGACAGGATGTTTCTCCATTGAGATGTAAATGCAGGCAAGGGGTCTCACTCCTTGCCTGGGCTGGAGTTTACAGAGACACTGCACAGCTTACACTCCTGTTAAGTGTAAATATTCAACACTTCCATTCCATTTGTGTAAAAAAATAAAGCACACACGATTATAAAATCAAGATGTATATTTCATACTCAGTGTGTCTGTGAATATTTATTGCGTTTCCAAGTGCCGGCAGTGGCCCCATTGTTAAAAATGCTTGATAAGTGTTTATAAACATGTCATGGTTTTATTATGAGATATAAATATTAAAACATTTTATACTTTATAGCAAATTATATTCTACCAAAGCATAATTTGTCTTATAGAGAAGAGAATCACTCATTTTCTATTTTTATCAAATTTGTCTGATTTCAGAGCTGAAGTGCAGTTAGGGTTAGGTTTGTTCTGAGAAATATTGGCGCCACTGAGAGGAACTGAAAAGTGGCACTTTTGCATATTTTAAAATATTTGGTTACCATCTTGCCTGCTTTTAATCAGGGGTGATTATTGCTTTTAAAGACATAACTATGTGGAGGAAAAAGTTCCCACTTTTTTCGGAGTTTTATGATTGCAGAAAATGCTAGGAATGGAATTTTTTTTCTTTTCTGATACTTATGATACACAAAAAGGCATAATTTGTTGAGGCAGTGTCATTATCTATGTACATTGGGGCCACAACACATACCTGCTCCAAAGGTCTGAACTTATCAAAAAAGTCAGGCTTGCGAATCTGGATCTGCCAATCCTGAATTCTTCACTTCAGGTTAAACATATGCTTCGTCATCATGACATTTAGACAGCACAGGTGTGGCAGCTGGAGAACCAAAATGAATTCCTCCCATCAAAGGGGTGAAATGTCATCATGAAAGAAACCATTCTGAAGTATGCTTCATGATAAATTCCCAAATACTTGGATCAGCTATTCGGGAAGCCAGGTTAGATGACCCTATCATCCTTGCTATCACTGGACCAACAGGAGTGATGGCTGATGCTGTTCCTGGTGCTTGGAGTTAAAGACCCTCAGTTTAAGACACTGACACTGCAAAACCAATGCAGACCTCAAATTTTGACAATTATATAATTTTTAACATTTACACAGCCTCACCTGGTTTTAAATTAATGGTGACACTACACAAACACCAGATTCTCTTCAATAATGAGTGTGTTGATTCAGAAGATAAAGCTAGAAAAGCATTTGATTTTTTCTTTGTTTCCTGTTTCATTTCTGTGTAACTATTTTAAAATCATAGTCCAAAACCTAGGCCCAAGAGATACACACCAGTTCCCTCAAATCTTTTGTCTTAGGCCTATCTTCCAGTTCTGGTTCTGTTTTGTTTGGATGGTTCATCAGCTAACCTCTGCTTTTTAAGGCTTCAGAAGGATGACTTGCATGGATATTGCACAGCAAGAAAGCTAACCTTACCAGCAGATAAACACATAAAACAGATTTGACACAAAATATAATGGATTCCAACCTGAAAAGAGAAGAGAGAGAGAAAAGTACTTTCTTTTCAGAAAGACATAAAAATATCAAACTCCTTGTAACTCTGAAAGGCAATCTACAATGAACATTTCCTTGGTAACAGAGTTAGAGTCCCTCAGAAAGAACAGTTTTTTGTTTGTTTGTTTGTTTGTTTTACAGTTCTAGGGTCTGAACTCAGGTCCTACACCTTGAGCCACTCCACTAGCCCTTTTTTTTGTGATGGGTTTTTTTCAAGATAGGGTCTTGGAAACTATTTGCCCAGACTGGCTTTAAACTGCGAGCCTCCTGATCTCTGCCTCTGAGTAGCCAGGATTATAGGCGTGAGCCACCAGTGCCTGGTTAGGAGAGCAGTTAATTTCTATTCAACAAACATATGAAACCAGTAAGATGAAAGGCTGGATCCTAGTTGGACTGCTTTATTTTGATGAGCTGCACCTGTGTCTCTGATAGTCTTAGTAACTTTTCAACAGAAACTTTTGACATTCTGGATTAAAGAACTGTCCCCCTTGGGCTTTCCAAACCAGTTTCTTCTTATGATATTCATCTCAATTACTTTCAGCCACTATATCACAGTCTTTTTCATTAACAATTGGAGGTTTGATTTTTTTATTTGTATTCTCAATCTTTTACTTTGAACTAATTAATAGATTCATAAGAAATTGCAAAAATATTCACAGAGATTGTGAACTGATCGCTCAGTTTGCCCCAATGGTAACATCTGAAATAAGTATAGCAAAATATCAAAACCAGTAGATTGACATTGATATGGCCCACAGAGATCATTTAATTTCACCAGTTTTATAAGCACTTATTTTTGTTAATTTGAGTTCTATGATATTTCACTATAAGGTTTGATTTTTTGACTACCTGCAATTCTTCAGAGTATAAAGTTATAGAAAAGTGTCATGTATTAAACTGGGATTAATTAACACATCAAAATTTTGAGTATTTAAGTCAACATGCGAAGAAAGGCCAACAGTTGCTTAATTAAAATTTTCCCACAAGGAAAAC